TGCGCTTCCCGATAAAGTTCATGGAGAAACGACAGCGTACTAAGGCATGATCAGAGTCTTCACAGGTACTCTAGTATGAGCGGCAGTCCAGGATGGAACCACGCCACCTGTAACTTATGGCTATGTAGTCAATTTGGGTCCATCGCCGGCCAGCTACAGGAGGACGCCAAGTGGCGCTTCGGCGCCTATTGTGTCTAAAAGCAGTGCTACTAAGAAACAACTGGTGCTCCGCACACAGTTGCAGCAGACGCTTGCCGTTGTCAGTCCGTTCGGAGTTAAGCCCACAATTACCACCCAGCTGAGCTTCTGAAGAGCTCAGACGCCCTACTTGTGCGTTCATCGGCATCAGGAACATTCGGTGCAGACTTACTTGAGCTGACTCTCCAAGTGCCTTTACACCAGTTCGTGGACTTTCCCACTAGGTATATGGACAACCAAATACCATCTACTTTAGATTTGGTTTTCGCTAAATCCCTCGACTTCGTGACTGACGTTTCATACGGTGCACCTCTAGGGTCCAGCGATCACGCATGCATATCCTTTCGATGTGCTCTTTCAAGACACCAAGGGACCGCTGTTGAATTACTTCCGAATATTTGGCGGTCGGACTTTAGTGCAATGCGAGCTAAGGCTTCAGTTCTGAACTGTGAGATCTCGATGACTGACTCTGTCCAATTAGCCTGGGATAAATTTAAGGCATACCTTACGGAGGTTTCCACTCCCTATATTCCTCTCATGGGGAAAAGCGGGTTAAGGGCACAGCCTCCATGGCTAGATACCACAGGCAAGTACCTACTCAAGGAACGGTCTAGATGCTGGCGAACCTACCAAGCAGCTCCATCAGCCAGTATCTATGATAGTTATCGAGAGATTGGAAATAAATGTAAGCAACATCTCAGAAATGTTCGTCTTCAGTACGAGCAGGGTTTAGCGGACTCGGCCGCAACTAATCCCAAGAAGTTTTTTGCTTACGTTAAAAGGCGCAGCAGGGCAAAACTGTCTATACCAGCATCATTGCGAGCAGACGGGACCCGTGCGCAAATTGATTACGACATGGCTTCTATACTTAGTGATCAGTATACTGGGATCTTTGCTCAGGAGACCTCTTTACCATAGGTTGAAGTAGTTTCAAGAGTTCCAGAGGATTCTTGCTTAGCTGTGTTTAGCATAACGGAGACTCAGGTCTTCGAGCTACTGCAAGGCATTAATCCCTCTAAAGCTTCCGGTCCTGATTCAATTCATCCGAAGCTGTTACATGAATTGACCACTGAGCTGAGTGGTCCTGTCACATGCGTGTTTTCAATATCGCTGCACAGCTGCATCCTACCTTCGGAATGGAAGGAGGCAATCATCTGTCCGCTTTTTAAGGGCGGTGACAGCGCTCTGCCCGCGAACTACCGGCCTGTCAGTTTGATAAGCATAGTAGTCAAGTTGTTTGAAAAGCTGATAAGGGATTCAGTGGAGAACCACCTGAATAGATTCAACCTTCTCAGTGTTGCACAACATGGATTCCGCAAGGCATTTTCATGTCAGACTAGTCTGCTTGCAGCTCGTGAAAGCTGGGCCGAAGTGGTAGACAGTGGCCACGCTGTTGACGTGCTATTCGTGGACTTTTCGAAAGCTTTTGACACTTCCACATCTTCGGCTCTCACTAAAGTTAAGATCTGACAGGATATCTGGTCGCGCCCTTCAATGGGTGTCTGCCTTCTTTGAGGTGAGGGAACACTGCGTACGGGTGGAGCGTAGCCTTTCGCTCAGGCAAGCTGTCTTTAGTGGCTTCCCGCAGGGCTCGGTATTGGGGCCATTGTTGTTCTCGATCTATTTAAATGACTTGCCCGGAGAGCTGGGGATGTCATCACTAATGTTTGCTGACGACCTTAAGCTCTGGAATAATGTGGATATCCCGGAGGGTCCTGAGGCAATTCAGCTTGTCTTGGGTAGGCTCTGGGAATAGTCTACCTTATGGTTGATGCCCATACATAGGGTCAAGTGCTCTGTTTTCCGAATCGGAGCTGCTAATCCTCCCACCCGATATGTTGTCGGCGGTGGTGAACCTGTTGTCACTCAGCAGATTGATTTAGTGATCGTGCACGCATCAGCACTTCATTCTGGTAACAATTGGAAGAAGGCTGCTTGTCGAGGGTTTCGTACGATGTGCTTTATCCGCCGCTCTTTCAGAATCCTAACGGCCAATTTGTTTGTGAAGCTATTCTCGGCATTCGTCCGACCCCACCTTGAATATTGTATCCAGGCTTGTCCACCATGTCTTAACCGAGACAAAATGGACTTGGAGAGGGTGTTACGAGTGGGCACTCGGTTAGTGCAGGGTCTACGGGGACAGACGTATCCTGAACGCTTGCTCAGTTTGGGGATGTACTCAATGCACTACCGAAGGAAATGAGGGGACCTGATTCTCACTTATCGTATTTTGACGGGTAAGATTGGCCTGGACTTGTCAGGGCTATTTAGTCCCGCTACGTTACCTAATCTTCGCACTCACCCACTGAAGCTGCATAAATCACGGTCTGATAGGATTAGGACAGAAACTCGTCTGTCGCGCCGAGTTATAGATCGCTGGAATTCGCTTCCAGATCACGTGATTAGGGAACCTATGGTTAAGGGTTTTGCGCGCCGGCTCGATGCTCTTGGGTGGCAACAGCAAACCTTTCCTTTTTCCTAGCTGACTCACTTTCACTTTTCGGTTCTTTTTTAATGACTCAAATATCTTGGTGTTCCACTTGCCTAGCTCTTTCCACTTTCTCTTTTGCCTTCTGAGTTTACTTTTTTCTCTTTATTACTTCAGGTAACAGGCCCAGTAGGGACTGCTAGGGCAGGATACGTGGGCATTAATTGGTTGGACAGGGTGTGATGCAGTCTTTGTTTTAGGTCCATCAGTATTTCAAAGTCTGCCAACTCCTGGTTCAACGACCCGCCGAAGAAGGAACACTCACGGGATAATCCTGTTGTTCCAGTCCCGCTTGAACTTGAGCGTCCAGCCACCTACCAGGTATTTGCTTTCCATTGCAGCTTCTCAGGTCCATTACGACCTACATACGTACTGGACACGGAAGCCCTCGTAATCCACGACCGCACGCGTATTACATATTTAGCGACCCTGCCAGTTACCGATAGCAGTCCCTGAGTCTGGATCGTTGCTGTTAGGGCGATCGTTGATTTTCCTTTGACCACACTTCCTGTTGTGGAATCTCGAACGTAGCACACCGTGTTTTTCAGTTGTAAACCAGCCGATCGTAAACCAACGCATGTTACACATTTAGCGACCCTGCCTGCCCTGACAGCAATCCCTGAAACTCCATCGTTACCCTGTGACCACATTGCTTGTTTCAGAATCTAGAAACTAACACACCGCGCTCATCACTTGTTTCACACATCAGCACATCGTCAACCAGACGCATATTGCATATTCGGCGATTTTACCTACTCCCGACAGCAGCACCTGAAGCTGGATCGTTGCCTTGAGGTTATCACCGACTTTCCTGTGACCACACTGCTTGTCGCAGAATCTCTCGAACCGTGCACACTACACGCATCAGTTGTTCTTCACATCAGCAGGTCGTGACCGACTAGGGCTACTGTGGGCGCTGACGACTGCGCCTGTCAACTGGGGGGATAATGTAGCAGATCTGTGCGTGACCATGTGGTGATCCCCAAAGTAAGGCGATTATTGTGCCTCGGTTAGACGGACGTTGATTCTTCCTCTTCTCTTTTCTTTCACGTTTCGTTTGGTCTCTTACTAGGTGGTTGTGATATGAGCATCCAGCCACCTACGAGGTATTTGCTTTCCATTGCAGCTTCTCAGGTCCATTGCGACCTACGTACGCACTGGACACGGAAGTCTTCGGAATCCACGACCGCATGCATATTACAGTAGTCGCGTTGCAGCGAAGCATCAGCAAAATTTGCCGGTTTGCCACTGATACCTATGGATCGGTTCCAGTTCGGTCACAGATCATGTTTACTTCTTCTGGCTGGACTTACAAACCCTTTCATTTGCTTTTTTGCAACCCTCAGCTTCTGCTAACATAAGTATTTCTGAACCTCCATTTTCTGATGACCTCAATGTGAACATATTTATCCGAGTCGAAAATGACATTATATCTGCCAGCCCACCGACTCCCGCGACGTGCGTTGTTTGCGCGCCGGGGGTGTGGATGGAAGAAGAGAGGTGGCCAAGCGATGACTTGGTCGAGAGGAATGAAGACCCTCACTTCAGAGCTGTCCTCGGTTGGAGCGTCTCGGCTCTCTGGTTGGGGTCCGAAAGACGATGAACACATTTGGTTGGACACGTCTGGTTGGACACACTTGTTGATATGTCTAGGAGCCTACCTCAGTGGCGTTCGTGCTGTGAGTTTCTTTGTCCCACCCCACCCCTCTTAACCTCCCCCTCCAACCACGATCTCATTAGTTAGCCTTATATAATTTTGCATAGTAATTTTCTTTGATGCACAGTAGCCGGCTGGTAGCTTCCCGGAACGATGCCCCTCCGTTACCGGTAGCTCAGCTGGTTTGCAACAGTTGTTTTTCTTCTCCTTTTTCCTGTGTATTGCAGCACAGTAGCTGAGGTGTTCCCCACCTCTAGCTAACGTGTATGATGATGATGATGATCTTCTGGTATTTTCCGCGGCCGGTGGCCAAAATGACTGTACGTCTGATATATAAGTTTTCGGTCACTTTTTCGAATCCGAGTAGGTGTGTGCGACCTCGCGGTATACTCATTTCTCGCGCGAATGGTAGTGTTCGCGCGGCGGCGAAGCCTCGGTAATGCGTACCGCCGTACTGTGAATACCTTCATTTTTGTACTTGTGCACTGACACTGCAACCTTTCTCATCGTTTGGTGACCACTTGTATCCTACAACTTCTGTTACTGAGCAGTAGTAACTATAAAGTACCCATGTTATTTGAGTGGCTTAACCACTATCCCTCTTTTATTTCGGTCTGTTCGATTTTGTTTTCACTGTGGTTGTGTTCCACTTTTCTAGCGCCATGTCCTTTGATTTACCCGAGGCTCAACCAGACACTTTGGAGGAGGTCTTTTCTGACAAGTTTCAGTACATCAACCTGGACCATTACAACATTTATCACTTCGAGGACTTGGTTATCGATGGGAGAAGATATCAGTTTCGTCTCTCCTCCAAAGGAGATCTTATGACGGTGGTGACTCACATTGCTGGACGAGCCGTTCTACTCGTCTCCGTGTGGACAAATATGGACTATGAAAAGCGTCTGAAGGAAATACACCAACACATTTTAGAGCTTGAGCGAACCGGAAAAGTACCTGTGGATATTCGAGGTGCGTGGACCTACTTTATTCTCTTTCTATCGTCTCTTTTTCATATCGACAGTCTACGGAGTCTAGGAATTCTTCATCTATTCAGGCGTTCATTAAACGCTTACAAATGGTAAGCGTTTCGTTACTTGTGTTTTTCCCCTTCCATATATACATCGCACAATTTACGTGTGAAGCGTCATTGAGGTCAATTAAGGCCCTGATGTTCGCATTTTGCATCCCGGGTTGATCCAGTTTACAGGGTCTACATGTTTCAGTGTACCATCATACTTTTGGGAACTCGTCTAGTGTATGCGTATTAAACTTCACTGATCACACTTGTTCAAGCGTGTTTTGTAAAAATCGAGATCAAACGGTGATTACCGCTATACGTCAGTTCAGTCACATTCCTTTGCGTGGCTACTTTGTTTTTCGCTAAACGGATCTCGACTTCTGGACGTGCATGTATTATTAAACGTCTTCGCAACACCTGGCAGTTACCTGGAGTTCTGCTCCTTTTGTCGTCTGTGCATGTGAATCCGCTGCTTTCTTGGCTTCCTGGCCACATACATCAGCGATTCTTCCTTCGAAAATGGTGTGCTATTATTCTGATTACAAAGAAAGCGTCATCATTTCACCGACATGTCGTAGCGACTGTTCGCCTCCTCGCGAACATCACCATTCAGTTATGGTCTGGGAGATCTGCGAGGTGGCCGAACTCACATTGGCTCGACCCGGTTACCTTTGGATTACAAGCCAGACGCCTGAATCACTCAGCCACCGGCCGAACATCTTTTTGGGGACCACCCTTCGACATCTGCATAGGTTCAATCGAGCTGAATTTCATCTACCGGTGACCGCGCACTCTCAGATACCTTACCCGCTACGAAGGCACTTGTTGTAGGTGCATATGCGCTCCACCATGTTCCCCTGCGCTGTATCCAATCACTATTGTTTTCCGACTCAGTTCATCCACTTTTCACCCCGCTGGATCATCATACACCTAAAGCGCTTTCGACGCTTATTAGCTATGTGTTTCGTAGCTCCTATCACTATGCGTAATTCTCTTTGGACAGTGGTTCACTTTGAAGCAGTGCAGTCATCCCAGTCCAAGTGGGCGTACTTGAACTAGAAACCTGTTTGCTACTGCTCGTTCTGTTGTTCTACTCGCTCCGATAAGTCCGCTTTTTGTTAGTTAGTGACATTTTAATGAACTATATCCTGAATGTGTGGGTAGGATGCTATTTTATCTCCGACTGTTGTACCGTAGCTGTTCTATAGGTTACCAAGCGCTTCTCTAGGTCCGAGTTAGGTGAATATTTCCCCTTTGGTGTTAACCTTAAATAAAACTCGTCTGCTTCAGATTGAAACGGGTAGATAGATTCCATCAGTGCAGCCGGGGAGCTAGATGACGTGCTGTCCATTTGCTTAGCAAGCGTATTTTTTGAAAAAGCCGTATAGTAACACTGACTTGGCGGATCTGACTGGTCACAAAATAAACTCATTATACATTATGTACTGACACAATCAAACAATTGGGTTTTACCGTCGCAACGAGACTGGACCTTAACGTGGTGCGACGATTTGCGTACCTCTTTAACCTATTGAGCTGTACTGAGTGGTGCTTCCGGGTCCGTTGGGAGCTACTGCTACCAAGTTAGTTAATGGTTAGAGGTCAGATAAACTCAGTCTCCTAGTCCTCCATGTTGGGGGTTTGAAATGGGATGGCATCCATTTCTGTAAAACTAAATCATTGCGACCTCCCCGCTGCCTTGCAGACACGCTTTTGTACCAAAGGCTTTGGTTGAGAACCCTAATCGTCCTCCTGTTTAGGTCTGGACGCCCTAGAAGTATCTCAGCCCACATACAACCATGACTTTTTCTTCAAACATAAACTTCATCCTGCATCGGTCGTCGCGCAGATTATCAAGATTCGCCTTATCTGCTGTATACAGCAGGGCGGATAAGCGAAAACATGCGACTGCTGGCGCCTCCTTTCTTTTCCACCTGTTTCTCTTACTCCCATCCCGACCCCCATTATTATCTTTCCTATAATTCCCACCTTGATTGACGCTAAACGAAGTGCCACTGGAGTAGAACATCTGCAGCCGTTTCCATGGCGGCATTCAATGTTCGCATTTTAAGACAAATTGGTCAACAGGTTGCACTCGCACGCTCCTTGGACACACTGGATATTGATATGTGTTGTGTGTCCGGAACTAGGATCAATGACCTTAGTGGAGTTGTTGAATTAACTACACGCGGCTTATCCTCTCGTTATTCGTTGCACGCATCCGGAGACGCCGATGCAGCACTCACGAATCAAGCTGATGTAGGTATCGTTCTAAGCTCCAAGGCTGTCATTGTTGGTTAATTGGATTCCGATGAACAGCCGTTTATTTGCAGCCCGTTTGACCACATCAGCTAGGGTTGATTCACAAAGTAGTACAAAACGTTTGTTTGTGATTTCCGCTTATGCTCCTACCGACTGAAGTTCAAATGCTGCCAAGGACATCTTATCACGACTGAACGCGCTGCCACGCATTGCTACCAGTTCAGATATTATAGTACTTGCAGGGGGATATGAACGCACAAGTAGGTCGTCTGAGCTCTTCAGAAGCTCAGCTGGGTGGTAATGATGGGCTTAACTTCGAACGGACTGACAACGGCAAGCGTCTGCGGCAACTGTGTGTGTAGCACCAGTTGTCTGTTACTAGCACTGAGTTTAAACACAGTGGGCGCCGAAGGGCCATTTGGCGTCCTGCTGTAGCTGGCCAGAGATGGACCCAAATTGACCACATTGCCAGGTAGCGTGGTTCCATCCTGGATTGCTGCTCGTAATGGAATAGCTGCGTCGACTTTGATCATGCCTTAGTACGCTGCCATTTCTCCATAAACATTTCCGGGAGGCGCGCCATGCGTCTCCTTCGATTGGCAACCGAGAAGTTGTCTCAGCCCTCGGTCAGGCAAGCCTATCAAGAAGCACTGCATACCGAACTTTCGCTGTTTTGTCATAATGACACTGAGCTTCAGTGGAATAGGATATCAGCCGCCATGCACGACGCAGGAGCATCTGCTAGTGGCACTATCCATCGTCACCGCACCAGTCACAGGATATCTGAGAAGTCGGTGAACCTGTATGAATTTAGAAGAAACCTCCCGGCTGGCTCTAAACAGAATGTGACCAGACGGGCTATTAGGTGCGAACTAAAGCGGAGCTTACGGGCTGACAAGGAAGCCTGGTGGATCACTAGGGCTCAAGAAAGGGAGTAGGCAGGAGCAGTAGGCAGTTATCTCAAGCTCTTCCAGCCGATCCGCACCACTCGTCCCAGGAAACCAGGCGTCAGTGAGATAAACAAAGATAGCGCAAGCGCACTGGTGCACAATCAGCAGCGCCGTATTGCTCTTTGGGCGGAACACTTTCAATCTCGGTTCACCTGGCCCCCTGCTTCCGGACCTCTTCCTACTCCGGTGATGCAGGACGAACCATGGACGGTTAGTTTAGAGCCTCCGTCGGAGGCCGAAGTCCGAAACGCGATCACAGTTCTCAATCATTTTCGTGCCGCTGGCCCGGATTTTCTCCCACCTGCACTATTTAAGGATGGAGGTGAGGTCCTCTGCAAAGCACTGATCTCGATATTCGAACGTATCTTTAAGGAAGGGAGTGTCCTGGCTAACTGGAGTGAATCGGTTATAGTCGCAATGTACAAGAAGAGCAGTCGCATAGACTCTTGTGAGAAAATTACTGACCTCAATTCTCGTTCTTCGCCTCACTGTGGAACGGGAATCTCGGATTAAGGAAGAGCAGGCCGGTTTCCACTCAGGACGTGGCTGTATAGACCATATATTCACTCTGCGGCAGGTGCTAGAGCAGCGCCACGCATACTGCAGACCGATTTCAAGTGTGCGTTCGATTCAGTCGATCGATCGATTCTGTTCGAAATATTTGCGCGGAAAGGTGTTCCCAAAATATGGGAACATCCTACGTGCTTTTTACTCGAACACTACAGGCCGCGTCGACGTCTACGGTGATCTGTCGGATAGCTTTCCGACCACAAGTGGCATTCGTCAGGGTTTTCCGATTTCCCCATTTTTGAGCAGTCACTTCACTACGTTTCCCGGACGGTTCATTAAAAGCTGTGACGCACGTTGCACGTGATCTTGCCGCATCTGAGGGTAATTTCAGCCAAATACCTAAAGAAGCATTGGCTACCATCTTTACTGTACGCTCAATGCTTTACACTACTGACGGACCATAGACCCCTTCTTGCAACTTTTCGGATCGAAAGAGGTATCCCAACATGCGCATCTAGCCGATTACAGCGATGGGTAACTTTACTCTTGGATTATGATCTCAACATGAAATACTTATCAACTTATCGGGTAAGTGGACGCTTCGTCTCGGATAATCGATACCGACGGGCGTAAACTCGAAGATACAGTCATTGTATCCATCATGGCTGAGACAGATGATACCGTGTGAATATGGTTCTGAAGATCACGATACGACGCATTGAGACAAGAGACCCTGATCTACATAAAACAAAGCTAGTCATGGAAATGTCCAGGAAGAAAGCTCTTCAAGCCTTCAGAACATATGTTAGCGAACAGGCTCCAGCATGTTCAGTTAACACGGCCTAACGGAAACAATCGCGTCGAATAACAGGTCGTAATTCACCTTCTACTAATTTGCGGCGTTTTGTGCACAAAATAGAATCGAGCACCTGGAGACAACTACACCATCCACAATCTAATATGCAAACGGAGAGTTCTGCTGACACACTAAAACGAGCGTTATTAAAATGGAAGATGAAGGAAGCGCTGGTCAAAAGGCCAGAAAGATCCCTATTAAATTGTCGCGTTGCCCATAACCCCAACCAACCAGTTAGGAAGTTCTACTGAGATGCTTATGAGTCTTGAACTGAATACTGAGAATAGAGAGCGAGAAGATAAAATCTGTGTTATTCCATCGTAGGTGGATCGGGCACATGCGCAGAATCACGTCGCTGATTCCTGCGCGGTGGCAGCATATTGCAGTTGCACTACATGTTATCCGGATGCGACAAGCTCCCTATATCTAGTCCGCATAGTGGGCGTCAAGGAATTTGTTAAATTTCTACACAGATTTCGCAT